AAAAACTTAAAATCTTTGTTAATAAAGTTGATAAAATATATATTAAATTATATTTTTTATATAGTAATAATATTACTTAAAGAAAATAACAATTTTTTTAATTTCGCAAGCAAATTTGCCTGCTAGACAATTTAAGGGATAATATTAAATAAATAAATTATTATTTTTTATATTTTTATCTTAACATATTTAATAAATTACAAAAAGAATATTTTTTAGTTTTTTTATATTATTTTATATAAAAATAATAATTTTTTTAATAATATAAAATAAGTAGAAATAATAATTAATTTTAATGATTAACTATAAATTATTTATATTATATATGTTATCTAAGTTATCTAAGCTATTTTTATAATGTTAAAAATACTTACTATATATATGGGAAATGGTCAGTAAAAAAGGTGAAAATCTAATTTTAGTTCAAATTTATATTATTAGATCACTTGGCTGATCTTGGTCATATGCACATAATTAGCTTAATAATTAAAATTAACAAAAATTTTGGATTTTCTCTTTTCTACTGATCACGTTCCATATTAATATTCATAGGAAGACATTCATATGATTAGTTAAATAGATTACACAAATTTTATATTACAATACTATAATTTTTATATATAATCACATAACATTGTCATTTCTAAAACTTAAAAAACTTCATTAATACTCTTTGAATTTGCAAATAATTAATAGTAAAAAAATTTCTTTATTACTTCTGTCTCTTTGAAAGTAGATAAACAAGTAAGTTTGACTTTAGATTTCCTATTATAATTATAATATCAGTTCTTTTTACAAGTATATAAAATATATAACATATTTTCTATTTAAAAAAAAAAAATAAAATAAAATTAATACTTTTTCTTAAATATATAGTATTATTAAAATCACCAAAATTCAAAATAAACTTTCTTATAAATATATATTGTCAGCTTAATCTTTAAATTACCTTTTTTTACTTTTTCTAGTTAGTTAAATATTTTCAATATATAGCTATATAGTAATTACATATAGTCTAATAATAATAGTAGATGAAAGTATTTTTGTCTTCTAAGTAAAGTACTTTGAGGTTTGGAATTATTTTTGGATTATTTTGTATAGTGAATGTTAACGTTCTTTCAAAGCTAGACAAAAAAATCTTTTACTTTTATCAGTGTAACATTATATTTTTGAAAAGTACTTTAAACTGTATAAATAATGTATCTGACAATTGATTAGGATTGACCAATCACATGAAAGTTCTCCTATGATATTAATATTATATAATTAATTTGAAGAATATATATTATTATATTGATATTTTTAATTAATATTTAATTAATCCCTTATATTACATTTATATTTAAACTTAATTTTAAAAAAAAAAATAATATAAAAATTTTATTATTATTAACTGAAATATTTTAATATAATAGGAATTAGTGTTAAATATAATAATTTTAATTACAAATATTTAAATTTCATAATATATTTACAATAAGATTTTGATTTTTAAAATTTGATAATATATAAAATATATAAAATGGTTACTAAAAAAAATTAGATTCTAAAATTTTTTTAATTAAATTTAATATCAAAAATTAATTTTATAAGTTTTTAGAACTTAATTTTTCTTATAATTATTATATGATTTTGGGAATTAATATTTTATTATTATAGATCTCATTAATTAAGTTTTAAAGCTTATTTAGTAAACATAGAAATTTAAAACTATTAAATATAATAAAGATTATTATTCCATTAACGTTAAGATATTACTATAAGTAAAAAAGAATTAGTAGCCTAATTTATTAATTAAAGATTTTTGAGAGATTTAATAAGAAAAGATTTGAAGTTTAGTATTTTTCCTTTATTTTCTTATCTTATTTAGTTGTTTATTAGTCACTTATTTCTGTAAAATAAGAAATAAATTAGCTTATATAATTTTACTTCCTGAATACCTAAATTATATTTCAAATAATTATAGTTAGTTTTCCTTGTACTTTAAATCTGTAGCACGAAGAGCGCTTTATTTACATTCTACAAAAATTTCAAATGTGGCATGATATTTATTATTTTTTTTTATTCTACTTTTTAACTATGGCAATGCTTGAAGCAATTTGATAAATTTTTGTTGCGTTTTAATAAAAATTTATAAGACCGTTCTCAAGCATATCCCTTGGCTATTAATAATGCTCATACAATACGATACGATCAATCATTTAAATAAGGAGCGCAACATTGCTTGAACAGCTTCTCTTCATTCTTAAATTTTATAAGAAAAACTAATAAAAGGCAACTACTCAACCTGATGAACAAGTTAATAGGAACACCAATGAAGTGCTTGACCGATTTATTAATAAAGATCTTTTCTTCGATCCAATGAGTTAGGGTGTTTGAGAACGCCCTACGGTATCATATCGGGGTGATTTACATTCCAGGCATTATATACGGGGATACTATAGAACACGTTTTATCCTTCAGACTAATTATGGAAAAAGTATAAATTTGTAACTTTAATAAAAATTTTATTGAGAGCCAGCTGCGCCTCTTTTTAAATATAAAAATGATCAATGGGATAGCTTGACTTGAGTTAACATATACATATAATCACTACCTTATGGAATTGAACACAATGAACCAATTTTTAGGAGCTTATCATTGTTTCATTGGATAATACTTAATGATTTTACATTAAATATTGTTTTATGATCTGCGTTACATCCTTGAAAATAAAATAAAATGAACTTTACAATTCAAATTTCTTTCTTTGAGTTTTCGCAACTCGGTTGAAATGATGAAAAAAAAATAAATATAAAATATAAGGTATATATATTCATGCGTGTAAATGTATATAATTTCTTTTTAATTTTGTGCAACTGGAATAAAAATAAAATTTTTAAAAAAAAATTGGAGGAATTTGTTTACTTACACCATCATCAAACTTTATTTGAAAGGCAACGTTTGTATATATCTATAGAGTCCGTTATTAGTTAACGTTCCTAAAATTAGGATTTGAACTAATAATTTTGGATAACTCATTCCACCCCAAAATAATAACTATTTTATTATTACTAAAACTTAACGCAGTGTTACAAATAAAAATGCGACCAAGAAAAAAACCAAACGTTGTACAATTTTACAATGAAGGTATTATTTTAAAAGGTTAAAGATATTCGTGTTCATCACCATAAGTATTGTTTCCATTTTGTTTCTGTATACACACATATATACTTTTTTTTATTTGCCATTATCCATCTAATTAATACCATATTTCCTTTATTTATTCTTTGTTCAACCTATTAGACAGGGTAAACGAACTTACCAATATTTATACTTGTAATATATATAAAATGAATATAAATATCAACAACAATTAAAAAATAATTACAAATTTTTTTTTTTTAATTTAAAAAAAAAAAAAAAAAATTTTCAAATAAAAAAAAAAAAATAAATAAAATAAACCAAGACCATATCATAAGGAACATATAGTTATTAATATGGATGATGTAAATGAATTTATTGTGAATGGGACGGTATCAGCCGAATTGAATGTTAAAGGGACGATAGCAATATTAGTAACCAGCACGATTAGTAATTTAACAATTTTTGTGATGTTTTGGATTATAATCAGACAAAATCATTCTTCAAGACACACTGTGGTTACAAGATTAGTATTGAATTTATTTGTATCTGATTTTATACAGTCAATCGGGTTCATGTTTAGCTACCATTGGATAAAAAAGGGGATAATACAACAAGGAATTCATTGCGATATACAAGGTTTTCTCATCAATTTAGGAGATGTTGCCTCGGGATTTTGGGCATTCGTAATATGCGTGCATACTTACATGCTCGTGGTTCATTCTTATGAATATCCACATATAGTATTTCTGTCAATGATAACCATATGGCCGTTCAATTTCTTAATTTCGACTTTAGGTTTCGCTATTCAACATGCTAGCGATAGCGGTAAAAGATTTTATGGTAGCGCTGGCGGTAGTTGGTGTTGGATTGATAGAGATTTTCAAGAATATCGAATTGGTTTTCATTACGGAATCATCTTATTCATTGCCGCGGCCATGATCATCCTTTATGCTATCATGTTTGTGATACTGTACAGACGTCAAAGAACAATGGCAACGAGAGGTTCGAGGAGAGTTTTACAGAGTGTTAATAAGAAACTTGTATGGTATCCCGCCGTCTATATCGTTCTGATATTTCCGTTAGCCCTTCGTAAGTTATCCTTATTTTGATCTTTTGTTACACGATGTATTTATCTAACAGTGCGTCTTACAGAACGTATCGCTGCTCTTGCCGCTCAAGATACAAATATTTGGGGCTCTAGTTAGTAAGTGCTCTTTTCATTTTCAAAAAACATAAAAAAAATGGTGAATAAATTGATCTAATGAATTCTTTCACCACATATTAGTTTGGTTATAGCGGGAAGTATCTTTACGAGCGCAGGGTTAGTAAATGGGATGATTTATGGTATAACTCGGAACCTTGTATCCGTAAAACCTGTGATGGCCATGGTACCCAAAATTCGTCGATTCACCACCACCATCTCATCACCAACGACCACCAACTTTACAACTACGCGGAGTTCGTTCTTTTTTAACTCAACATCCGGCAGAATCACAACCGATATGGATCCCATGTCAATCATTTCAATTGCAGCCACACAGCCGATGCGAATAAGTTATATGGAACACCCGACAATTTATGAATTTGATGATGATAGTCGTTATTTATCGAGTTCTAGTGCCGTGACTCCTCCAAGTCCTACACATTCAACTGATCCATTAAACAACCATAATCGAAATTACTCTAATTCTTCGGATACGATCTCTCCCGTTTGATATTAATGATTTTTTTCGGTGTAATTTAGATTGTTATAATTGTAGGATGTATTTTTATTTAAATGTATAAATAATTAATGTATGTATATATAATCTATTCGTTCAACTACGCGTATTTTATGACCTTTCCGTTACGCGTTTTCCCCTCCGATCATCAACAAACTATCTGATAATTTATGACAAAAAGAATCAAATCTAGATACATCTGATCTCACAGTATTAGCGTCACATGACATGTAGCATTATTTGTATCAAAACTTGTATTTGTATTCCAATTTTTTTATTGTCAACCCTTTTTATTTTGAGTAATATTTATTATTTATTTTTTTAAAAAAAACTGTTTGTATATATCATTTTAACTAAATTAATATTTTTAATAGAAGGTTAAATTCGAAACAATACCTGAAATAATTTTGCATTATCCTAATATATTACGTAACTATCTAAAATGAAAATTGTTTTAACAAATGAAACTTGTTTAATGGTGAATCTTCGACTTTTATGAGATTATCGGTATGTCACAAACTGTTTGTTTGTTCAACAAATTCTAGGTGCGGGGGATATCTTGTTTACTGCGCAAGAAAAAAAAAATAAACAATGATATCAATTCAAATTCACAAAAAAAAAAAAAAAAAAAAAAAAATCTTTTTTTCTCTCCCTATTTTCTTCTTTTCTTCTTTTTGTTTAAATTTCAATGTTTAGTTTCCCAAATTAGGAAAATTTTGTCATATTATGAGTTTCTTTGTGGTTACAGGCTGTGGACACTTCCGGTGCTTGAATTCCGAATCCTTAATGTTCTGTAACCTGGCTGATGGTGGTCCATTGGATGGCACGACTATTGAATAATTAGATAAAGAGTAGTTTTCTATTCGAATTTTGGTTAGGATCCTCGTCGATCCTCAGTTACGACCCAACTTAGGCAAGGGCATTGTGAACAGTCTCACAAGTCCTTTGAAGACCGCCCACCTACATGAAAATTCATTTACTTAGTTTTTAGGTTTTCCCAATGATATTGAAACACAAAAAATCTCATTTATTTAAAAATTTCTCATTTTCTATCTATAGGATAAATCTTTAAATTTTGATATCTTCTAGAATATTGTTGTATGAGGCTTGTATATTCTATATCTTTCATATGCGTTTCTTCAATCCTTAAAATTTTTAAAGGTGCTTTACATGATTTAAAAAAATTTTCTAAACCCTTCAAGGTGAACTTAAAATTTAACGTTAAATGGGTTAATGAAGGAGGTAAATTTTCTCCAAACATTTCCAATAATTGATCGTTGAGACTCGATGATTTTAATGTTCTAATTTCCAATCGTTTTAATTCATGTTTTTTACTAGCCCAATAAAATAAATGTGAATGTATTACAGGTAAATTTATATTTCTCATGTAAAGGTAATTAAGATTATGAAAATTATCCGTTAAAATTTGTATGGTACTGATTGTAAAATCATCAATTATTAGATCCTTTAATGATTCCCCACTATTCTCTCCGATGATTTGTATTAATGTTATTGTTATATTAGGTGCCCACTTGTTATCTAATAATTTTAACCCTTCGATTTGAAATGTTGAATTGGAAAATTCTTTACAATGGTTTATCGTAAGTTCATTACAAAAGTTCATCGTTAATGATTTTAATTTATGACATCTCATTAATCCCTCCAATGAAAATCCCGTGAAATCAATAAATGAAAAGGTTATCGTGTTCAAAAAATTTGCTTGATATAATTCTAAATATGGAATAATTCTTCCAAAATAATTCCCCCCTTTATTTATTGTGAAAACTTTTAAATTCCTTTGAGTTTTGATAATATTTACTAAAAGTGTTGTATCGAAATTTTGATCTTTTGAATTCATGACCTTTCCAAAGCTAAAATTTAATTCTTCAATCTTAAAACATAAGTTTGGTAACCTCTCCAATAAATCGATAAAATTTGGATATTTCGAGGGGTGAAAATGATCCAATTTAAATTGTAAACTTTTCAAATTTGTTATACCAGGATGAACTTTTGTAAAAATCCTCGAATCTGGAAGATCCGAGTTCAAATTAATATTAAATGTACGTAGATGTTTACTATGACGCATAAACATCAAACACATTTGTTTAAAAAAAATCAAGTGTAAAAGTTCCGGTTCTTTTTTAGGTAGCCAACTCTTTATCATCAGTTGTAATTGTAAATCATTAAATTCTTGTAAGTATTCCGCATATTGAAATAAAGGTTTCTCCGTTATGTCAATCTTCAAATCGTGCGCCATCAAGATTTTTGCTTCCTCCTCATTAAGACAAGTGATATACGTTCGAAGTAATCTTTTCTTTTTATTAAAACTTATCATGCTAAAAGGTTGTTTCCATAATAAAGGAATTGTAAGTCTACACCATTGTCTGCAAATAAAAAGGCAATTGTGTAAATTAAGTTTGTCATCTTGAAGATGTTTTATAATTTGAATAATAACATCTTCGTTTAACATCGGAAGAGACATGATAGATTAATGGAAAAAAAAGAATTAGTGGAAAGAGCAAAAAAAATAATCATAACGCTTATTTAGTTTCACATTTTATGCAATGTTGCATCATTCACCTTCAAGCCGCAGAAGGTTCCTTGAATTAACTGTGCCACAATTAAAACTGTATTACCCAATTCTGCCAATCAACATTACAAATCAAAAGTTTTGGATCAACTACTACCTAAATCAAGGTTCATTGCAATTTTTTAAGTTCAAATAACTTCTTTCCCCGTTAAAAAGAAAAAATGGCAATTTCTCAAAGAAAGTCTTATGTAATTGGAGTTGGAATGACCAATTTTACCAAGCCACGCGGTCAGGTTGATTATCCCGGTTAGTCACTTTGTTTTTTACCGATTTTAGTTTGAATTAAAATTTAAATTTTCTCTTTATTAGAAATGGCTCGTGAAGCCGTTGTCAAAGCATTGTTGGACATTGGAAATACTTATGATGTAGTTCAACAAGCGTATGTAGGATATTGCTTTGGTGATAGTACTTGCGGACAGCGTGCTGTTTATCAGCTTGGCATGACTCAAATTCCCGTTATGTAAGATATCATTTAATTTTTTTTGGTAAAAAACAAAGAAGTTATTTAGCTACTTTTGGCTAAAATATTTTTCAAAGTAATGTAAATAATAATTGTTCAACTGGGTCAACCGCATTGTATTTGGCTCGTCAAGCAGTTGAATTCGGAATCGTTGATTGCGCTCTTGCCTTAGGTTTCGAGAAGATGACAAAAGGTATAAAAAAAATTTTTTTTTTTTGAGTTTACATTTCAAAATATTTTATTGAATGATTATTTATAGGGTCTCTCGCAAATTACCATAAGGATCGCACTAACCCAATCGGTAAGTATAATCTTATTTAATCTTTTGCATTCGTTTATATTACAAAGTAAATCTATATCGTTATTAATTGTCTTAGATACTACGGTGTCACTCCTATCAGAAATTCGAGGAATAACCAATTCGCCTTTTGCGGCCCAAATATTTGGAAATGCAGGCATAGAGTATTGTGAAAATTATGGTGCAACTGCTGAACACATGGCAAAGATTGGTGAAAAAAATCATCGTCATAGGTAAATTCTTTTCTTCCCTTCAAACAAAAAAAAAAATGTTTTTTTCTAAATGTTCGAGAATCTATTTTTAGTGCAAACAATCCGTATTCTCAATTTAAAAATGTTTACACATTGGAAGAAATAAAATCATCACCTCAAATCTTTGGTCCGCTTACAAAACTTCAATGTTGTCCTACATCGGATGGATCAGCAGCTGTTATAGTAGCATCAGAAAAATTTGTCATTGAAAATAATTTACAAAGTCAAGCAATTGAAATCGTCGCTCAGGCTATGGCAACTGATTCTCCTGATTTATTGGAAAAGCGAAGTTCCATCGAATTGGCTGGTGTTGATATGACTAGAAAAGCTGCCAAACAAGTTTATGAACAAGCTGGTATATCTGCTGATGATATTCAGGTTGTCGAATTACATGATTGTTTTAGCGCTAATGAGGTAAGTCAGACCTGAAAAAATAGAAAAAATATTTAAAGAAATTCATAACGGAAAAAAAAAAATTTATTATTTAGTTGATTACTTATGACGCTCTTGGACTTTGTAAACCTGGACAAGCCCACAAGTTGGTTGATTCGAATGATTTTACGTATGGCGGAAAATATGTGATAAATCCATCAGGCGGTTTAATTTCTAAAGGTCATCCTCTTGGTGCGACTGGATTAGCTCAGTGTGCTGAATTGGTATGCGTACAAACTGTGGATATATTTATTTCCGAAAAATTTTTTTTTTTGAATAATTTTTATATATAATTGATCTAATTGTAAATTTTTTGATAGGTATGGCAATTAAGAGGATGGTGTACAAATAGACAAGTGCCAAATTTGAAATATGCGCTACAACATAATATTGGACTTGGTGGTGCTGTCGTAGTGTCTGTTTATAAACTAGCTGAATTACAAGATAAACAGAATAAGACAGGTTGGAAGCAAAGATTTGGTTATAATCCCGCTATTGAATCAAGAGGTATCACTGAACAGGATTTTAGAAAAGTCTGTTCAAAACAAATCAGCGAATATTTACTGGCCGCCAAATTGTAAAAGTAATAACTTGATTAATTTAATGTAATTTCATGTTTTGAGCTTTAAATAAAAAAAAGAATTGTAAAATTCCATAAATCATTGTCGGCATCTTTTCCGAAAAGAGACCAAACGAATATATGCCAATTTTCTATATTTTGTGTGACATTTGTTGATCAAAGTCAGTTTTTCCAGATAATTTTCAAGTTTACTTTCCCTTTTTATGATAGAATCGGTAAGTTGTGTAATGTTCTTGCGCCATAAATACGGGCACAAAATTTTTTTTTTTGAAAAAAAAATTTCTTCTTTTTACCAAAAAAAAAAGGATGTCTGAAGATAACGTTGATCAAAAAAATATTTCCGTGCCATTACCAGCTGACTGTGTATATGAAATCATTCAATACCTCGTTAATGATGTGAAAACCTTACAATCATGTGTCACTATAAATCAAACTTTCTGTCAAGTTATCATTCCAATACTATGGAGTAACCCTTTTAAATTTATTCAAGATAAAGAGAAGAGAGGTATTATAATTCGAACTTATTTTTCTTGCCTTGATGAACAAGAGAAAAATCAAATCACGACATTTCTTCACAAGTCCGTTGTAGACTTTCCAAGACCTTTCATCAATTATCCAAGTTTTCTTCAAGATTTTGAATTGTTCTCGTTACAAGAATCTATGAGAGTATTCCTCCGTCAATTTTATTCAGTCTCACCGACCGATAATCGTATTAATAGTATTATTCGTATCCTAAATCCTTTTATTGGAAAGTTATTTTTCAACGATCAAAGTAATTTCAAGTATATGAATGTTAATTTGAGGGATACTTTGGGATTAGAGAAGAACCAATTGGACATGAGTTCATATGGGGAGGTCCTTGAGAGAGTTCTTTCGAATATCGACAAGTTTTCTTTTGGATTTCGTTTAGATATTCATAAAAAGCCGGAACTTTTTACATTTATTAAGAGGAACGCGGATAAACTTACAAATATTATTTCACAACACAACAAGAATATTCAACACGTTTCATTCTCATTCGCGTGTTTATCACCATATCTTCGTCAGAGAAAAAACAAATTAAAAAAGTTAAACATCAGCATAGAGTATGATCGATTCATTGAAATTTTGAATAATTTTATCATTTCATTGAATAATTTAAAATCATTGGAAATTCCTTGCTATTGGAGGCATAATGAATTCGTCAAATTATTTAAAAACCATTCACACTCTTTAACTTATTTAAAATTACATGAAATATTCAATTGTTCAATAGTTCTTGACATTTTAAATAATTGTCCAAATTTGAAAACGATTGAACTTGTTTCTTTCACTTTTTATGATAATAAAGAAAATATTTCAATCTTTGAAAAACCCATCACATCAAATTTGAATAATCTTGAAAACCTTTACATGACAATACCTTCAAATTATTATCTTGCCTTTAAGCTCTTTGAGAAAATTGTTTCAACGTCAAATAATAATCTCAAAACCCTTTTCTTTAATAAACAACAATATTATTATTCATCTTTTAATGATTTTAATAATATTACACAATTAATTCAACCATTTTGCACGAATCTAACTCATCTCTTTATCAAAATAGTCAATGAAAGGGGCATCATTTTATTTCTGAAGAATTTGCGACGTCTTATCCACTTGAAGTTGGGTTGTTTCGCATACAATAATCTTAAAGTTGATGATATCACGGAATTAGCACGATCATTTTCCCCCACTTTAAAAATTTTGGAAATTGATGCATTTATAACAGAGGAAATGTTGAAAGTATTATTACAAGAAGGGAAGTGTAATCTCAATGAGCTTTACATAAAAGCGAACCTAAACGAAACCATTTTAAGAATTATCATGGATTATGCAAGGCAAAGAAATTCTTTAAAGACATTTAGATATTCAAATGATGGGAATCAATGCTGTATACACTATCCTTCACCCCAATTATTGGAAGAAGCAAAGAATCTATTTACAATTGACGATAATCCGGAACCTTTTACAACTCCCTTTGTTAAATCAATTTTCTAAAATAAAAAAAAAGATACACACGTACGTATTAATTATCGTATCCTTTTTTTTTTTTTTTTTGATTTTCCTCAATTATTAATTTTCCTTAAAACTCTTACAGATACATATCTATTTTTTTTTTTTTTTTTTTTGTTTTTCTTTTCTTTTCCTTATATACAAACGATGCGATGTAGTCCTTTTTTTTTTTTTTTTTTTTTTGCTAGACCATTTTTTTTTATTTGGGCGTCAAATAAATTTTGAACATTATTTATAGTTAAATAAGTATGTAACAAAAAATTCATAATTCAATTAATAAAAAATTTGTAAAATTAGTTAACAACATTTTCTCGTTTTGAAATCTTGTAAAAATAAGTAGTGTTTATTTTCTAGATTAAATTCAGCCATTACAAATTTGTAGATTCTTAACCAATTCGGAATTAGGGTCTTGATTTATAACAATGCAATGGCAGGCATTTTCGTTCGGAAATTTTTATTTATATATATATATTTTTAGGGTTAGGCTTGATTTAAAAAAAAAAAATAATTCATCGATTTTTTAGTATAATAACAAACATATATTTAATAATGTATAACAATTATATTTTTTCCCAAAATTAAAGATTGTCAATGTGAGCTTTTTATTTCATTTTATGAGCGTGATTTATTGGAGGACAAATGATAATGTTTAGACCATTAATTTACCAAAGAATAATGGTAAATTGGAAATTATTACAATTCAACTCATCGATTAACAATTGGTTTGAGCAACTTTCAATACGAAACAAATGAACCTCTCCATGACAAATTTATTGACAATATTTTGACTTTCAAATTTTGACTATTCGGCTTTATATATCTGCGTTCTCAGAAAATTATACTTGATCTTGATTCAACTGAACAACTTTGTAAGATTTACAGTAAATAAATGCTTTAAATCGGCAATTTTTTTGGTAGCCATTAATAATATAATACTAGTACTATAAAGGCTTTAAGAAATTCTTTATTAGCACGCGCTTAGAATTATTTATTGTATTGTTTTAAACAAAAAAAGACAATTTTAATTTTGAGCAAAATTCTCCTAAGAAAAATTTTTACTCGATTTTATTTGGGATAGAAAGAATTGGCCAGGAGCCTTTTTTTTAACTTTTTTGAAAAGCAATTTTTTTTTTTCATATAGGCCAGGACTTTAAATATGGTATGGGTCTCAAATATTGGCCGATAGCTTTAGATTTTCCTGAGGCGTAAAGCTTCCAACTTTTATATTTAGTTTTTATTGAATTTACATGTTCCGGAAGTGTAAATGACTTTCGGCGGTTGCTATTTTTTCCTTTTGATGAAATTTTAACAACGAAATATTGTATGTAATAAATGATCTCTCCAAATTTATTAGTAATTTATAAAATTACAGGTTTTTGAAAACGAATGATTAACAATAGACCAAATAAACAGAGTCGAAAGTCAATAACTCCGACTCTTAAACTACAAAACGTAAAGTTTAATTTCAGTCGATTTTTAACCGATTTTTTTAAAGGCCGGCAAACTTTTGATTAATATAATACTACAATAAATATTTTTAACCGCCACCATTAATAATTTTAAGATTTCAATATTTTCACGTGAAATACTAGCTGCTAGGGTTCCGCAATTTGTTTTGTAATAACTTTTGAGAAAGTAAAAGTCTGCATCCTTAACTCTATGAACATCAGACCAAAAAAAAAGTATACTTTGCAAGTATTTTGATGATCTTTGAATTAAGAACTTTATGAGAACTTTTTAATAATCTTATAAAAAATTGAATATCATATTATAAGTATTACGATACATTATATTTAGAATAGTATTTATTTTCTATTTTACAATAATTAAGTAATGAAATGATTAATATAAATTAATTATTTAAAATGGTAGTAAATTTGATTTACAAAATAGATCCATTAACATTATAATTTATTTAATTCATTTTATTCATTTATTTTATTTCTTTATTTAAATTATTATAATGATATATAGAATAGTTTTTATATAAATAGGAGCAGAGCATCAATTTATGTTTGAAAAGGTTTAGAAAAAATTATATTTAGAAATCAATAAAATAAAATAAAAATATTATATTTGAAAAAAAATAACACCTTTTTTATATCATCATGTAGCAATCAAAATATATTTATCTTAATATCATTGTACTTCCTGTTTGATGTTTTTTTGCCAACCCAATTTTCATTACATCTAACATCTGTAATTGCTCATCTATTATAACTTTTATTGCATTAATAGTAATTTTTTCTTCAAGAAATACTTTCTCAAATTTCTCAAATTTAGTATATACATTATTATTATTGTATTTTTAATTTTTAATCCAAGTAATTAAGAAACTTACCAATTAAAGGTAATTTGTTTGTACTTAATGATAATTCCAAATAAGCATTTGTAGAATTTTGATAAAATTAATTTGGTAATTGAATAATAATAGGAGTAGTAGTATGAACAGGTATAGATATTTAATTAATTTATGTAGAAAGTATTACTAAATTACTTTTATTAATACATACACTTGATTTTATATCAAATATTAAATAAGATAGAAGAACATCATAAGTGATTCCATTATTTATCTAAATAAAAATTGATAGATAATGTATATTATCTTTAAATTTATGTAAATCAAATAATAATATTACATTTGACATACAATATCTTAAACTTAAAGTTGTAGTCTAGCAGATTAAGTTATATTGAGTAAAATACGGATTATATATACATCAAATTTATACATTTAAACTAAATTAGCAATAATTTCAGATTGTGATTTTTCATTTTTTGATAAATGATCTTCTCTAATAGAATAAGATTTCTTTTCTTTTTGGTTTATAATTTGATTTCTTTTTCAAATAATGATTTACTTTTATTATCAGAATTTTAAGAAATTTTAAATGTTAAATTTTTGCTTACTATCTATCTTACAATATATATAAAAAAAACTTTACCTTTTTATGTTTCTTATTT